CCTTGTTTTTCATTTTTGTGTGTGTAATTGGTGAATTCATTTATCAAAAAAAAAAATTGGCAGCTGATACTGCCTATCCTAAGATACTTCATATGTGTTGGCATATTATCCTATTGAGAAATGTACTCTCCGTTGATCCCAGCCCACACTGAACAGCTGGACTCCTAATTCATGAAGCTTTTGCAGACTGGAATCCTAATTCATGAGCTTAAAAGCTTATGAATTTTTGGCTGGAATTTGTCGTCTGATAAATTGCAATACTTTGAACTTAGGCGAAAGCCCACTCAATTCTGAGTTTGGTCTCAACAGAACCTCAGAAGAAACAATTTCAAAACATTCATTCAATAAGGTATAAACCCGATCTTTGACATCCAGAAAGGAGAGCTTGGGCGGAAATTCCTTCGTTGCGAAACTTCCGCTCATAGAAACTGGTAAGTACAAAATCATAAGCTATACAATCTAATATGGAGCAGAAGGCTTTGCATTTGACAATTTAACTAATCATCCTTCTAAACATCTTGCTGACTTGGAGTCATTTCCCATTCTTTCTTAAACTGCATTTTCCTGATGAGGCCTAGATTATGTTGGTTCCAGTGAATCTTACTGAACAATGATGAGCCAAGTAAAAATCAGAGGGTTATATTAAGATTAGACCTTCTGAATTGGGTAAGAGGCAGATCTTGGTGAGTTATGGTGAATGATGATGAAGAACGAATAATGGATAGCAAACTCGACTAGGAGATGGCGGAGGGAAAGGTTGAGCTTCTTTTTNTGCAGTAGAAGCCCTTGACCACTCTATTAATGCTAGAAAGAACGGTACAGCAGCTACAGGCACTTTTTGTGAAAGAGAGGATGATTTGGTGTCTATGGTTATATAAAGAGATGGTGGTGCCGAGGTGCTGTGGCTAGAGTTCAGCAAATGTCAGAACTGAATCTTTGGATTTGGTCATATATACATGGGAAAAGTGGGCATTGACTAAAATAACTTCTATTTAGTTATGCATACATACACTTATCAGTTAGAATACATATACACTTATCATTTAGAATACATAGAAACGCATTGGAAAAAGCAATATAAAGAAAATGTGTAAGGCATCCTTAGGCTTAAGGGCGTGAAAAGTTGAATTTATGGGCATGGATTGAGCTGAGTAAAGCTAACTCTTCTTGATAATGAATCATCATTGGTAAACTTTTTAATAGTTAACTAATTTTTATTTCAAGAGGAAGTCATCCTGAATGAAGCAGCATTTACAATATCTTCAGCTTTCTGGTCTCTAATGCTGTCAACTCCTCTAAATCAGATGTCATGGAATTAAGTTATACCACCAGCCAACCAAGTGCATCTATCAGTTTAGCGTTTTCTTGATGCTACTTTATGCATCATGGGGAAAAAAATAGTTCTACATGAAAGCAAACCCATTCTGTATTCATTCAACTGAATCCACCTTGGCAGTTATGTGTTTTGAGACATAGATGTGCAGCGATTACTCAGTAGTTTGAGCGGAAAATTTACATACTTGTATAATGCTTCGAGACGTCCTCTTTTAATACAGTGTTTTTTGTTTCATAGGGTGTACTTGTCCGGAAATTTGAGCCCACTTCGGATGTCAGTAATGTCTTGAAAGAGGTATTTTTATTCTTTATTTCAGTAGGCTATTTTTCATTTTACTGTTACACATGGATTTTTTTGCACTATTGACAGCACTTGGTAGCTCTGTTCTGATAATGATAGTTAATCTAGTCGAGAGAGCCTCAGCTTAATGGCTTTTTGTTTCACTTATCGAAGTTTTCGAAATGTTTAACCCTTAAAGTGCAACCTACAAATAGAAGGACCATAAGAAAAAGATTTGATTTGACTGAGTAGTGACAACTGACAAACAGTGATTAGCCGAGGAGCTAAAACAAAAGGTCTTTGTTATTATGAGAAGCTCCGTGGAAGTCATGGTGTTCAAGCATCTATTTTATTCAACTGAATGTGCTTCACTTCTTTTCCATCCATTTTTGTCAATTAACTTGATTTAGTCATTTTATTATGTTCTTTTTAGAACGAGTGTGAATGGGAGCCTCGAAGCAACTGTAAAATCGTCTCCGTGTGACCTATAGGTCACGAGTTTGAGTCGTGGAAGCAACCACTAATGCAGTAATGTCAGTGTTGTCAAAGGCGCGCTTAAGCCCTAAAGCGAGGCTCAAAACATGTTGAGCGCTTCGCCTCGCTTTAGTGCCGCATCAAGGCTTTAAGGCATATTTTTCCTTACTTAATGAGTGTAATCCTAAAAAGGCGATATTAAACAATTGATATTTCACTTTATCGTAAATTTTTTTCAATTTTTTTGTCCATATATTTGTTATTCATGCTTATAATTATTAGTCTTGAACTACAAATACATATTTTTACTTTTTCTTCGGTTGTGCCTTTTTCAATTAAAGCTCACGCTTTATTTGTGCTTTGCGCTTAAAGCCCCAACAGACCTTAAAGCTTTTCTGCGGTTTTCGCCTTTCATAACACTAAGTAATGTTTGCATTAGGGTAGGTTGTCTACATCATACCCCTTGGGGTGCGGCCCTTCCGCGGACCCTGCGTGACGCGGAATGCCTTGTGCATCGGGCTGCCTTTTTTTTTCTTCGTCTTAGAACAAGTGTGTTTGCTTAATATAGTAAGAGGTGGAGCCAGGATTTGAAGCTTATGGGTTTGAGATTTTAGTCCTTTTAAGTTAGTGGATTCTAAATTAACAATTTTGTACATATTCAATGAATTTCTTAAGACAAATACCGGTTTTGGACCAAAGCTACTGAGTTCGGCTGAAACCATAACCAAAGCACTAGCTCCGCCCCTGAATATAGTGGTTTTGACTTCCTCCTTCCCCTTATAGGTTATAGCAGGTAACTCTTTTTGAAACCAATATCCACTAAGGACGTGTTCCCAAATAGAGCATAATGAAAATGGTAGATTCAGAATGCCGAACCCAACTAGTTTGGGATTTAGGTGTAATTCATTGATTGAATATGGACTAGGGACTCAAGTCATAGTTGTCATACCTCCTTTTTCCTAC